AGAAATACTGGATTCCATGCGCCAACTCGATGGCAAGAAAAATAATCTCAGAGTGTGTAATATGTAGACGCCTCAACGCATCAGTTGCTAAACAAAAAATGGCAAACCTGCCAAAAGACAGGCTAACACCTGATCAGCCACCATTTACTCAAACCGGTGTAGATTATTTTGGACCTGTGGAGATCAAAAGACGACGTAACACTGTCAAGAGATATGGAGTCATTTTTACCTGTCTCAGTTGCAGAGCAGTCCATCTCGAAGTGGCCAACTCCCTTGACACCGACTCTTGTATCAATGCTTTCAGACATTTCATTGCAAGAAGAGGCCAAGTAAAGGAAATTCGCTCTGACAACAGTACAAATTTTGTTTCAACCGAAAGAGAACTCAGAGAATCTCTAAGAACATGGAATCTTGAGAAAATTGACAAATTTCTTCAACAGAAAGAAATCAAATGGACCTTTAACTCCCCTGCTGCTGCGCACCAAGGAGGAGTATGGGAAAGACTGGTCCGCTTGACTGTAAGAACACTGCTATCAATAGTTAAACAACAGATGCTAGATGACGAAAGTTTACAGACAGTAATGTATGAAGTGGAGGCCATAATGAACAGTCGTCCAATCACAACAGTCTCAGAAGATCCCAATGATTTGGAAGCACTCAAACCAAATCACTTGCTACTACTCCAGAAAAACCCAGCTCTTCCACCAGGACTTTTTGAGGAAAAGGACACCTATGCAAGACGCCGTTGGAAACAGGTACAATACCTGTCTGATTTGTTCTGGACTAGATGGACAAAGGAATACTTACCTCTCATGCATCAGCGTCAAAAATGGAATCGCACCTGGAAAAACTTTGAAAAGGGAGACATTGTATTGATAGCAGACAACAACGCACCAAGAGGATCCTGGATGTTAGCTCAAGTTATTGAAGCAACACCAGATTCAAGAGGACTTGTGAGAAGTGTGAAGCTGAAGACAAAAACTAGCATCCTGGAGAGGCCCATCAACAAACTCTGTTTGTTGGTGCCGCATTCAGAATGATCGATTAAGGAACAGGCTTGAACATCCTGCCTGCAACAAGTACATCTCACATTTAGATTGCACTACACAAGAATGTTTGGCTCCATATTTATTTATTTTTTTTCGAGTTATTGTTATTACCGTAAGTCCATAACAATAGGGGCCGGTATGTTGGAGCCATTTTTAGTTACTCATTTAAATACATGAGAAATGTCACCACCTGGTGTTGACCAGTGGTATTAATGAAAGGCCTTTATAATCAGGTCACTAGTTGCATGCAGGTGTGCAACATACAGTGAATGCTGAGAAAGCACACAGTCTTTTACTGCTCTGCTCTGCTCTGCTCTGCTCCGTTTTGCTTTGATACTCGACACTTACTGACACAATATTGAACGCTATTTTTTGGATATCAATCGATCGAGTGATATTAGCGTATGTTTTGTTTATTTGTACTTTTTAGTTCATTCGATTTATTTGATGCATGTTAGAGCTCAGAGCCAACACATGCACACGCTTATACAATCCACACATAACCAACCGGACAGACTACAATCAACTTCAACAAACCAAGTAAGTGCAATAACAAACAAAACTCGAAGCACGTAAAGGAACTCTCGACGGCATAAAGGCTTTAGCTAAGCACCAAGTTAAAGAAAGCTATTGACCTAACACACTTCATGGGGCACTACCTTCCAAAACGGAAAATGATTCAGTCTCATAAAATAAACTAAATTATCAATTTGGAACTCTGATTAATAATTAAATGAATAACTATAACCAAAATGACCATATTAATATTACAGGTTGAAGGACTTTGGAGTTCTTGACACAGCATTGGTTGACTTGGAAGCTTCTCCTTAAATTGGTTTGGTGACATCACAGGTCACATGTTACAGCAGTGCCCAGTCACATTTGAAGCTGCTGTTGAAGCGCCAGCATAGTCCTCCACAACTTCCTGCAAATGTTTCACAATAAAAGCCTATTTAGAAAATGGAGGGATTCTCTCAGCCGAGGTTATAAGGGGCTTTTAATTTGAAACAAATTCAGGAAGTGTTGAGTTTGAAATGACAACGCCATGCATTAACTTTATCAAGGCGACAGGAGTGGATAAAAAGTAAAAATATAAAGACACAGAGGGATTAATAAATAACGGAGCATCTATAATGTAGTCTGTTTCACATGAAGCTGGGAGCCTCTGCAACTGTGCTGAGTAAAAGACACTATTTGTTCATTTTCTTACTTTAAGTCATCTGGTGAAAATTCTTGTATGTTTTAATATCGCAATATATATTGCAACAAAAAATGATTAAAAAAAATCTCAGTGTCAGTTTTTTCCAATATGGTGCAGCCCTACTTATTTTATGGTCAATAAATAATCTATAATTCTAATAATAACTTGGATCTATAAAGCACCCTTCAAGGTACCTGAGGCCACTCCACGGAGTGAGAACACATGAACAAATGAATGAACAAAAAGAAAATGAAGATAAAAAATAAACAAGAAGTGAAATAATAACAGCACTGAATGTTGGAGGTGAGTGAGCCAGAGGCCACAAGTCTTGGTGTTTTCAGCAGTTCTTTCTAAGTGTCCAGAGATGAATCACCCTGCGGTCCCTCCACCTCACTTTCTGCTGCTATTAGGTTTGTTTGACTGATGTCAGACACAACTGTGAAGTCCTTACACTGTGTTTTAATGTGATGGAGTGGGTGGATTCAAAGGTCTGGACCCAGGCAAACACAGAGTCATACTAATATGGTATGATATGTCTAATTATTAATCTGAGATCATTTCAGTGTCAGTCAGACTCAGACTGCAGCTGCAGCTCAGCTGCTGGGTCAGAGGTCAGGGTCTGGAGCTGCCACTGCATGTTACCACCTATAAGTTCAAACTGTTTTTCCCCAACAGACTGGCTGGCTGTAAGTTTACAGAGAGAGGCTGTGCTGCACTGGGTTCCAGTCTGAAGTCAAACCCCGCCCACCTGAGAGTCCTGGATCTGACAGGAAATGACCTCAGAGACGGTGATGTCACAAAGCTTTGTGAGTTCTTGGCAGAGCCACGTTGTGGACTGGAGACACTGAGGTGAGTATTGTGGTCATTATTTAAATAAAAGTGAAAAACCAAATGCTGTCACACATTCAGGTGTGCAGAGACAGTTTTCAGGTATTTGAGGCCATTTTCACACTAAAAGTCCTCTGTTTAGATTATTATGAAATAAATCAATGACTCATCACACACTGTAATGTAGTTGGACTGACATATAACAGATTTCTAAGTGTTCATTCATGTAGAGTTTCTGTCATCATTACAACTTGTCCTGTGAAGATGTGGCCGGCCCAATAAAAATCAATAGCTTGGATTCAACTCAAATATTAAACATGAAAGATGTTAAAAAATAAAGGCACCGACAGCGCCACCTGCTGTTAAAGGAGCCCAAGGACTCCATGTGAGGCTACACAGGTTCTTATGAAATCAGCAGTGAGCAGAGTTAAAAAACACAAGTGAGATTAAAAGATTTATTACATAAGATCAGTAATAAAAGACAGCTGTCAGAATAATTAAAACCTATTAAATATCTCTTTAAACCAGTTGACTTCAGGGGCAGTAGGAAAAAACTGTTGCATGCAGTAACTGGGGCACAGCCATCTTGGGATTCAGTGATTTCAAAATCAATCCAAAAATGGATGCAAGACTTTAAATGTCTCCACTTTCTAGGAAATCAAATCGACACATATGTTGAAATAAATACAGCCCAGACCACTGCCATAATCAGATGGGAAGCCTTTAAGGCATTTATTGGAGGCCAAATTATGAGCTATACAAGTCAGAAAGCAAGAGAATCAGGGGGAGATTTAGAGAACTGGAATCCAAGATTCAAATTGTAGAGAATAAGAGCTCCCAGGAAGGACAGAGTAACCATGACACCTCAAAACAATTATTATAACTTAGGACACAATATAATGAGCTATCATCCCATAGGGCTGCTGCAAATATAATGAGGCTCAAAGAAGCCTATTATGAGCGAGGGGAAAAGCCAGGTAGACTCTTGGCATGGCGCATCAAACAACAACAGACAGAGACAGCAATGACTAATATTGAGGACAGGAATGGGAATAATATAATGAATCCATCAGAAATTAATACAGCCTTTAAAAACTTGTAGGAAAATCTCTGTAGATGTGAATATTCTACTAACTGTAACACTCAGTGTGAATTCCTCGACAAAATGAACATTCCTAAAAGTTCAGAGGAAAGTAAGGCAGCTTTGGATAAAGCTTTAAGCAAAGAGGAGATATCAGAAGCCATAGGTGCATTAAAGGCAGGGAAAACAGCGGGGCCGCATGGTCTTCAATAGACACCTATAAATATTTCAAAGATAGATTAATAATCCTCCTCCTCTCCTCCTCCTCTGCTCCTCTCCTCCTCCTCTGCTCCTCTCCTCCTCCTCTGCTTCTCTCCTCCTCCTCTCCTTCTCTGATCCTCTCCTCCTCTCCTCCTCTCCTCCTCCTCTGCTCCTCTCCTCCTCCTCTCCTCCTCTCCTCCTCCTCTGCTCCTCTCCTCCTCCTCTCCTCCTCTCCTCCTCCTCTCCTTCTCTGCTCCTCTGATCCTCTCCTCCTCTCCTCCTCCTCTGCTCCTCTCCTCCTCCTCTGCTCCTCTCCTCCTCCTCTGCTCCTCTCCTCCTCCTCTGCTCCTCTCCTCCTCCTCTGCTCCTCTCCTCCTCCTCTGCTCCTCTCCTCCTCCTCTGCTCCTCTCCTCCTCCTCTGCTCCTCTCCTCCTCCTCTGCTCCTCTCCTCCTCCTCTGCTCCTCTCCTCCTCCTCTGCTCCTCTCCTCCTCCTCTGCTCCTCTCCTCCTCCTCTGCTCCTCTCCTCCTCCTCTGCTCCTCTCCTCCTCCTCTCCTCCTCTCCTCCTCTACTCCTCCTCTGATCCTCTCCTCCTTCTCTCCTCCTCTGCTCCTCTGATCCTCTCCTCCTCCTTCCAGTCTGAAGTCCTGCAGGTTATCAGCAGGATGCTGTCGGCCTTTGACCTCTGCCCTCAGCAGCTCCTCTGATCTCAAAGAGCTCGACCTGAGGGGCAACCAGCTGATGGACCAGGGGGCGGAGCTGCTTTCTGATTGGCTGAGGAAACCCCAGTGTGGACTGAAGACACTGAGGTGAGACTTCTCAGACGATTAAGCAGTGGCTCTCGACCTGCCGTGTTATGTTGTGATGACATCACAGCGTTGTTTGCTTTGCGGCAGCTGACAGCCTCCTTACCTGTGACATCATCACAACATACCACAGCCTGTTGTTGGTTGTGATTAAAAACATTAAAATGGCTGTCAGTTATAATTCATGATTATTTAGAATAACTAATGATTATATTAAATAATATGATATGTGATGAATATGATTACATTAAGTCACTTCATGGGGCACTATCTTCCAAAACGGAAAATGATTCAGTCTCATAAAATAAACTAAATTATCAATTTGGAACCCTGGTTAATAATTAAATGAATAACTATAACCAAAATGACCATATTAATATTACAGATTGAAGGACTTTGGAGTTCTTGACAGAGCATTGGTTGACTTGGAAGCTTCCCCTTAAATTGGTTTGGTGACATCACAGGTCACATGTTACAGCAGTGCCCAGTCACATTTGAAGCTGCTGTATAATAGTGCAGGGTTGGTAAAGGGGTGTTAGGTTACATGCGGGACCCTGGGTCTGTGTGAAGCATTAGCTTACTAACATCAACGTAGCTTTGGTGACGCCAGCTACCCAACAACCTGACAACAAAACAATCACAACAATAAAACTCAGTGACCTGGGCCCTGTCTCAGAGAGCAGGATCAGTGACACTCTGAGTTTGTTCAGCCTGAGATGAAACTCTGAGTTTTCCGTTTCACAAAGCCAGTTCAGTGTAACCCTGAGTCAGTTACTATGGCAAAATAGTAGGCTTGCTTCAACTCAGCCTGAGGCTGAGCGTGTAGCAGGAAGTAGAAACATGGCGTGTCCTTCAGTGAATGAAGTGGTGGAGGTTGAGGCCCAGTGTATTCAGAGGCTGTTGTGTAAGGAGAAGGTGATTAGAGCCTGTTTGGATGTCTCCCTGCAGGAGTGTCTATATGAAAGATACTGTTTGACCTCACACTCTATCATTTATCTAACAATCTGTTCCACCCACATATATCACATATTACACATCCTGTGATTATCATCACAGCACATTTTATGCATTGTCCTTTGATTCTTTTCTTTATAACATCAGAGACACTGAACACATCAGAGAGACAGCGGTTTGTCGGCCCGTAAGAAAAGTGTCTCTGGCTCTGAAAAGACTTTGACCTGTGTTTGTGGTTTTCCCTGGACATAAATCATAATCGATTATCAAAGAAAGATTTCATCGGTAGCTTAGTGGATGGAGCGGGCGCCCGTGTACAGGGGCCTGTCCTTGCTGCAGCGGCCGCAGGTTCAATTCCAGCCTGTAGTGCTTTGCTAATAATATTAATAATAATAATAATAAACTTTATTTGTATAGAACCTTTCATACAAACATTGCAGCTCAAAGTGCTTCACATTGCATTCATAAACATGTCATCACTGGTGTATCATCACCTCCATCAATAATCTGATTTATTCTCGTAAAAGGAGAATTTCAGATTTGTTTGTACATTGTGTGGGTAAGTCTTCTGGAGGGTTCCATAACGTTTCGCCATCTTGAAAATACCTCCACCAGCGAGGGACACACAGCCCCGCCTTCAGCGTTTTTGTTGAGAGCCAGGCCAGCGCTGCTTAGCCTCGCGTCACCAGGCTCTTCACATGAAGTGAAGAGCCTGGTTTTTATTCACTCTGAATTTTGTCTGGATTCTGGTTCCGGTCTAGAGAGTGGATGTGGAATTCACCAAATTCACCAAAGTAAAACTTTAAATTCTGGCGCACCATCGATTTGGGGTGATGAGGGGTGTAAGAAAATCGATTAACTTAATGGCTTGGGGCTTTTCTTGTAAATTATATTCTTTAAATTAAAAGTTTCACCGCATTTTTATTAGTTTGGTGATTTTATTTTGACGAAAAGGCGCATCCATCGAATTCCGAATCCTGTCTCACTCGCCCTGGTTCCGGTTCCTTCCCAAAACGGCTACTAACAGCCCCAGATTAGCGCTGCGTGACTGAGGAGCCGAAGGAGAGGAGCAAGAGGCGCTTCACTACGACCCCGGCACTACTGCAGCATAACACAGTCCCAGTCTCTGAGCATAATGCAGGATCATGCACATGCAGCATCACGGGAGACGGAATCCTCGTCGCCAAGAAAGTGCAAAAGGGAATCAAAAAGGCAACGTGAGCGGCGAATTCAAAAAAACGAGGGTCAACATCGGGGCAGCCTTTCCCAGGTGGAGAGAGCTGCTGAAGGAGAAAGGTTTTAAAAGGGACGCTACCTTTCTTCTCGACAGGTAAAAACTTTACTACCTAAATTAGCTCGCCTCCTCGTCGTCCTCGTCGTCCTCCTCCTCCTCCACGCCTAGCTCCTACCGATCCTCTGCCTCTCTCCCTCTCCCTCTCTCTCCCGCTGCAGGTGTTGAATCACCAGATGAAGATCAAAATATAAATGAATAATGTAGGGTGACCATATTTTGATTTCCAAAAAAGAGGACACTCGGCCGGCCTCGACATAGCCTTCTTAAATGATACTCGCAGTTTATTCAAAGATGCCTTATTATTTTAATATATTTAAATTTTATATGTATGGATAGAAAATTCAGTTATATTACAAAATAATATCTCTCAAAGACAGAAATTCAGATAGGCCCCAATAGGGGACACATACACACACTAGAGTGTGGCTACCCGATTAGAGCCCGACGGGTCCCGACGGTAGGCCTACCCTACTGGTCTGTTCGGTTTCTGTCAAAAATGTATAAATTGTATTCGGGCTCGTGTCGGATTCGGTCAGCTTTCAGTGAAAATGTAGTGTAAAAATAAATAAAATCCTGTTGTCTGTCCTGTTTATTGCTTGGGGACTGTCATTTACGTGACAACACCTGAACACAACACACATTGGCTGTTTGTTTCTACCTCTCCCCTCGCTGGAAGCCTTGGACCTACAGCCGCCTGCTCCCGTCTCAAACACGGAGGTCTCCCTCTCCGCAGAGCACCCACGGCGCACGCCCGGCTTGTTAAATAGCCTGTAACCACTGTGTGACGCAAAGTCAGTGCTTTAGTAATTAAATAATGTCGGGCTCGGTTCGGTTTCGGACATAATAACACATAATGACTGTTGGGTTCGGAAAGGAAAACCGGACATTATCATCAATTTATAAACACCCCCCGGACAGGACGTGAAAAGTGGACATGTCCGGGCAAAAGAGGACGTTTGGTCAGCCTAAATAATGTAACCCGACTAATTAGTACACAGTTCATGCTTGTTACACTCTGAGGATCACACAGTGTCGTAGAGCAATATCAGCACTTTGGGGAAATTTGTTTGTGTTCGTTAGCAAGTTGCTAGATGCTATGTGGTACCAAATCTGATCAGCTGTTCTGGAACTGAAAAGTCAGAGTTTCTCAGCTCAGATTCTGTCAACCTGGAGATCAGGATCAGGCTCAGTTTGCTGAGCCTGCTTTGTGAAATAGGGCCCAGAGTTAAATCAAGTCAGTAACATTACATGTACAGTGAAAAAGATCATTTCTGCTAACTTCATCAGGCCCAGTCGTCATGTCACCATTCCATGAATGGAGGGGGAAAAGATTTACTGTGGTGATGGAGAGTAAAGAAGTACATTTACTTGAGTACAGTTTGTTTATTTTTTTAAACGTATTACTTTGATCTCAGTACATGTTAAGGACAAATATTGTACTTTAGACTCCACTACATTTCTAAGAAGGCTCTCCTTACTTGTTAAATTTGCTTTGAAGTCAGCAGATGATATTTTTTCTTTTCTAAAATGCAAAAGTCCATAAACTGATCATGCATGTTTGTTGAGGTGGTGTTCCTGTACCTCTGCCTCATGCATGTGTTTCTCAGACTGGGCAGCTCATCAGTAGAGACAGATAGAGAGGAGAGGTCATCAGCAGGTGGTTGTACTTGGTTATACTGTGTTACTATGGTTACGGCAGAAGACAGAGATGAAGATTCCCCACCAGGTCACCCATGGCCAGACCTCAGGTCCGCGTGTGAAGTTTCTGAGAGAAAGAATGATTCATATTGTTTTAAATGTTTGCTCTGTTTACCACACAAACTTCATCATAACCCACAAGAATTCACCCTCCAACCTGAGAAAGCATGTCGAGGCAAATCAGTGTATTCAGTGGGTCGTTTTAGAGCCATTAGGTTCTGTAAATGTATTGTGACAATTTAAACTCAAGTAATGATTTGACTCAGCAACTTTTACTTGTATTGCAGTAATATTTGACCTGGAGTGTCTGTACTTTATACTCATGGTTGTCTGTGGTGGATGAGTCAGGCTTTGAAAAGTCGGTTCGATGCAGTCTTTGCTGTGCTGTGTTCTGATTGTGCAGATCAGAGGAAACCAGTTTCTCTGTTTACCGTAGTCCTTCAAAGCATTGGTTCCCAACATTTTTCCATAAGGGACAGTGGCACCAAATTCACTTCAGAAGTGGGGGGGGGGGCAAAAAGTGTGTGTGAGATCAGAGCCTGTATCCAAAGATCATTACAGAGGGGCCAGATAGTGAGCCCTTATGCAGCCTATAGGCTGTTTGGAGATGCAGGTCATATCAAAGGAAAAATCTGTGGAGGCAGCAGGACGGGACGGAGAGAAATGCAAAGTACAATAAGGCGCTCTGATTCAGCAGGAAGGAAGGGATAAAGAGGTAAGACAGAGGTAGCGGGGCAGGCAACCAAAGATAGAAGGTAAATGAATACACAGTTTGACATTCAGTGATGTTAAAGGGCCCTAAGTTACAGCCACACGTGACAAACTATAAGCAACGTGTGTGTGTGTGTGTGTGTGTGTGTGTGTGTGCGTGTGTGCGTGTGTGCGTGTGTGTGTGTGTGTGTGTGTGTGTGTGGTCTCCAGCTGTTAATACAATAACCAAGCAGACATGGCGGTCTGCAACACAGGCAGCAACACACTATTATACTTCAGTCAGGAGAGTAAGGTTAATATTTAATACAGAATGTGAGTGAACAGAATTCAAATAAACACAAGAAGT